ATAGTTTTTCTTAGTAAGCTTAATAAAAAAAAAGGTGTTTTAGTATAATAAGAAAAACTATTTATATAATTTATAATATAGATAAAAAGTTATTTAGGCCTATATTAAGTAATAAAATAAATAGAATTTTATTAAATTTTATAAAGCTAATTTAAATCTAATAAACTTAATACTATAGCAGCTGGCTAAGTAGATAGCTATATATATAGCTATATATATAGCTAAGTAGCCGGCTAAGCAGCCGGCTAAGTAGACGGCTATATATACAGCTATATAGCCGGCTATACAGCAGGCCGTATAGTAGGCTATAAAGCCGGCTATATAGATAGCTACGCAGCAGGCCGTAAAGCTAGCTATATAGTAGGCCGTGCAGCTTTTAAACTTTTCGAATATATAACAGCTAATAGCTACCTACTAAGGGGATTTTCTATTAAAGCCTATACCGGCCGCTGTTATAGTAAATTATCTAAAGATTAACTTTACTATATTCCTAATATACTAAAGCCGTTTTATATAACCTCTATAATATAGGCTATACTTAGCTTATTTAATTAAGCTCTAGTAGTTTATTATAGCTCTTAGCTTACTATAGTATTACCGCCTAAGCTATACTAGCCCCTAGGCTCTATAGTATTTAACTGCTGCTATTATTAAAGATATACTAGAAAGCAGAGTAGAACTTATTAGCCCTACTATTTCTAAATACTCTAAATATACCTTAAGTAAAGCTAAGTAATAAATCTCCTATATACCTATTTTAAAGCCCTTTAGGCTATTTAAACTTATATAATTTAATATTATATATAAAGAATATAGCTATAATAATAATAGCTATACTATCTATTTTTTCTACCTATATATAAAAGTATATATATACCGAATATTTAGTAGTATAGCTAATTTAACCTAAATTATTATAGATAAAGTTGCCCTTATTAAAAAGTAATAGAATATTACTATATATACGCTATAAACTAATAGAGAATAATTGCTTAGTAATAAATTTAGGGTATAGCACTATAGTAAGGGTATTAAATTTAATTAATCTACAGCCTATAATACTATATAAAATAGTAGAGCAGAGCGCTCTAGCGGAATTATTATTAAAAATGCCTGTTATATATAAAAGGAAAGCTAATTACCTATAAATTTATAGCCGGAAGTATATAAAACAGCTGCCTATTTACTTAATAGAACGCCTACTAAAGCGCTAGGTTAAAAAACTCTAATTACAGCCTTATAGGCTGTAACTAGCAGGCTAATAGACCCCAGCGTGCAGCATCTACGCATATATAGATATAGAGTATATCTAATATTAAAAAAGCTACTAAAAATACTAAAAATAACACCCTAAGTAATTATTAGCTATTTTATTAGCTATAAATCGGCTAATATCTATAGAATATAGGTGCTAAATAAGAATAAAGTTATTAGGGCACAGGACGTTATATTTAATAAAACGCTATTTTATAACCCTTTATTAGAAAATCTGGCTATATAACTACTAATTTAATAGGTAAAGCATATTCTAAATATAAAAAGCCTTTTAAAGCCGCCTATTATATAAACCTACTAAATAATAGAGAATAATAATTCTAATAACCCCCTATTTAATAAAATTAAAGTATAACCCTATATAGAGTAATAGTAGCAGCTGCCTATATAGTAGTAGCCGCCTATATAGTAGTAGCAGCCGCCTGTATAGTAGTAGTAGCCGCCCGGCTTACTAAGCTTAAATAATAACAACTGCTCTAGTAATAGCCGTTTAGAGCCTGCCTTACCTACGCTAAATCCTACGCTATTACCTAGCTATTTTCCTATAGTATTGCCTATAACCTCTACTATAGTATTACCTACAGCCTTTACTATAGTATTACCTACGGTTTCTACTATAGTATTACCTACAGCCTCTACTATAGTATTACCTACAGCCTCTGCTATAGTATTACCTATAGCCTTACTAATAGCCTTACTAACGGCCTTTATAGTAGCTACTATAGCAGCTTTTTTAAGGCCTACCTATAACTATAAGCCGGCTAAACCCTATACAGCCTTATATATAGTAATTATATAAGCTAAAGCTTTAGATAAATACTTACCTACTCTATATACTGCTTTTACTATAGGTATTACTAAAGATAGCTATTAAAAATTCCTTTTAAAGCTACCTAGAAACTAAAAGTAGCTACTATAGTACTTTAAGTACTAGAGGTTTATAGCAGCCGCTATTAAAGAACTTAATAGCTTAGTAGAACACGGTAGCTTTATAGCTATAGAAAAAACGCTAGAAATAAAGGCCCTAGCTATACCGGTTATCTAGGTATTTATATATAAATTTAATAAAAACAGCTTTTTTATACGCTATAAAGCACGCCTATATATACGCAGTAACCTTTAATAGCCTATAGAGCTAGACACCTATATAGCTATATTAGCCGGAAAGACCTTTTAGGCCTATATAGCTATTATCTATATAGCTAATTTTAATACCTAGCAGGCTAATACTATATCGGCCTTTATAAACCTAAAGCTAAATAAAAAAGTATATATCTACTACCCTAATAGCTTCTGCTGTAAAAGCTACCTACTATATATAAATAAAGGCCTCTATAGCCTTTACTATTCCCCTCTACTATAGCTAAATAATTAATTAAAAATACTGCGGGAATTAGGGCTTAAAAAGGTACCCGGCGTGCTATACCTATTTATTAATTAATACCTAATTATATTCTTCTATATAGACAATTTTATAGTATACTATATACTATAATATAGCAATAAATTAGCTAATTTTAAACATGCCCTAATAGCTTAATATAAGATAAAAAATCTAGGGGAAGTTTTCTAGTTCCTAGGCATTTATATACTCTATAACCGAGCCGCCGGCTAACTATAGCTTTGCTAGGATTTGTATATTAATAAAATTGCAGGCAAATTCCGGCAGAAGGAGGCCCTCCGTGTGCATACGCCGATGGCTATAGATGGCCTTATTCCCTATAAAGCCGCAGCAGCTAGTGCATCCTCTATCTACAGCTATTAACAGAAAATAGGGTTATTGCTCTATGCAGCTATTAATACACGGCCGGATATAGCCCGTACAACCTTACGGCTGGCCAAATTTGCCAGGAACCCGTCGCCCGCTCACCACTATACTGCTAACCGAGCACTTGCCTATCTCTATTAAACAAGGGGATATGCACTGCAGTATTCTGCCTCCACAATCAACACCGATCAAATGCTTGTACGAGCCAGCGATGCCAGCTTTGCCGACGACGTTGCTACACGCCGAAGCTCACAAGGATATATCCTGAAGCTTTTTGGTGGCCCTGTCAATTGGAAGGCCACCAAACAAACGCACGTGACGAAGTCCTCCACCGATGCAGAGCTTACAGCTATATCGGCAGCTGTGTCGGAATTCATGTGGTGGCAACGCCTATTTGTACACCTAGATCTAGCCCTAGAGGGCAACCAGGCCATTTCCGTGCTGTGCGATAACCAGCAAACCATCCGGCTACTTACAACGGCCGGCAGCAAGCTTACTACTAGCCTTAAGCACGTTGATATACACAGCCACTGGCTACGCCAAGAAGTACAAGCCGGCAACATACAAATTGAATGGATTGCATCCGAACGTATGATAGCAGACGGCTTTACAAAGGTCCTATCTCGACAGAAACACGAGAATTTCGTTCGACAGCTCAACCTCGTTGATATATTCGATCGCATCGGCCAGGGCACCACGGCCAATGAATCCGACGGCGACAAATAGCCCTACAAACACCACAAATTGCCAAGATTTCCTATATCTCATGCACTTCTACAGTCTCATCTCTCTTCCGAAGTTGGGGGGTGACTTGGAGTTGCTGGCATAGTAGCTGCCTACATGCCTAGCCAGTTACAACTTCTACAGAGAGGGGTTGGGGTACGGTGGCCTACCGTGCCTACCGTGCCTACTGCTGTCTCTAATCAGTGCTTCTGCCTACGCGTACAGTCACTTCCTACGTAGTATATAGTTTGGCCTTCGGGCCCCCGAAATAAGACAGAGTTCACGTCAATTTGCAACCTGAGTCTTGTCAGTCGATCCACAATGCGCGCAGGTACCAGGGAAAGGATTGCCTTCCGGACGGTAGATTGGTCCCTGCCAGACCTCATGTACGACCGTATCTATAGAGGCATTATTAGTATACGCGCTTGGATGAGAAACCGCAGGGCACCGAGAAACATAGCCACACTCACCATCCTGCTTAGCGGTTGCATAGGATTGGCGTCTGACGATATTCTCCGCTTCCTTCTTCTCCAAGAAATATCTTCCCCATTCTCGGACCAATACATGGACGGGATGGAGTCAACGACCGGCTTCCTGCCTACGTCAGCCATGGCCTGTAGCTCTAAGACGCGATTTTCGGGGTCGCTAGAAAGGCCGCCGTACTGCAACGACAAAGCTCCCGTGGGATCGAGCTCGTTGAGAGTCACTTCCAGCAATGTGCTGAACTGATCCACTGGAACATCTCTGAATTTCTTGGTGACCTCAGGGAAGTCGACACATAGGTGCATGAACTTCGCTGCGACCTCGGGGTCGTGGAGGGCTAGTGTTAAAGACATCTTTCCAGGTCGACAAGGGCGACTGACTTGTAACTGTACTACGACGTTGTGATCGCGATGGCTCGATGAGGGTAACAACCTTGGAAACTGAGATGGTCGCAGGTGCTAGATATATTGGCAGCCAGCGCAAGCGAGTCACATGATCGCTTAGCGACACCCCGCAGGGCGACACTATGTACGCAACGCACGATGTTATGTTGGCATATTTCACAATATTCTAACGTCTATGTTCTCTGAAAGATACCAAGGAATTGCTAGGACCGAAGTCACATCGTCGCTTAGCATCTCAGAAGGCGATCAATGTCGGGATCACTTCAAATCACAGCGCGCTAAGAACATTTTGGACTGGTGATGCTACTCTCGATGATTCGATGTACTAGTAAAAGATACTTTTGCTATCAAGGAGTCCGCGAAGCTTCGAACTCCTTTCTAACCTCCTCCGCGAGTTCATCGTCTGTCAAGAATCGATACGCCGCAATGGCCATTCCTTCGCAAGCTAATAGAGCTCGATCAAACGAAGAACGAGTACCAGCTGCCTTTTCAAATCCCACCGTGTGAGGATTCGCACCCTCCGACGAGATGCCAAAGGCACCATGCCAACTGGGACACTCATGACTTACGTTCCCCTGATCCGTCGACACCGGCGTAGTCTCACGGCCCACGTTATTCTGTGTCTCGAGACCAAGCCCCTTTATTGCATCTTGGAATGCCCCACAAATAGCTACATTAGTACGGAGGTCCGCATACGCCCCCGCATCCCTACGCGTGATATCCAGCTCACATCCCGTAGCCTCCGCAGCTCCTTTACAGCAACTCACAATGCGTTGGTCCAACACCTCCGCTCGCGCCAACATCGGTGCTCGCACTGTAAATGCCAGCATCACTTTCTCAGGGATGACATTAGTGGCAATTCCACCCTCCGGAATGATAACATGAATACGCTCCTCCGGCCGCACGTGCTGCCGCAACAACGCCATACGCCAGCACCGCCGCCTGAGCGCATTAACCCATCCCATGGATTCATCCCCGCGTGCGCCGCTTTGCCTCGAAACGTCACGCTGGAAGTGGTGATGGCGAGCGTCTTGTCGAATGCATCGCCTAGGATGTGATCTGGGAAGTGGCTGGAGCTGGTTGGGTGCACCATTAGACATGCATCGGCATCTTTGTAAGCGCCCGCTTTGATCAGCGTAATCTTGCCTCCGATGGTTTCTTCGGCGGGGGTTCCTAGTAGTCGGACGCGACCGGGGAGTTTGCTCTCCTGCAGAGCTTCCGCGACGGCCAGAAAGGCCCAGAGGGATGTTGTAGCGATGAGGTTGTGGCCGCATGCGTGGCCGACGTCGGGGAGGGCGTCGTATTCCGCGTTGAATGTAAGCACTCTTCCCCCTGAGCCGAATTCAGCTTCGAAGGCCGCGGGGGCGTTGTAAGCGTGAGGTGCTACTTTGATTGCGGGGCCTAGTGATTCCAGTGCCGCGACGAGGGTGTCGTGGGCGGTGTGTTCTTGGAGGGCTAATTCGGGGTTTTGAAAGATCTGAGTTTTAGTCAGAAAATTGCGCGAAGCAGTCTAACAATGCGATGGTGCCTTTTGATTGACTTCCCGGAGCAGTTCTCGATGCCTAGTCAGACTTTGGTGGATTACTGCCAGAATTTCTGTCATATTTCTGCAAACTGAACTTGAGATAAATTTGGGGGTTAGTAAACACACACCCCCTTTTTGGTAAACGTACACCCCTTTTTTGGTAAACGCACACCCCCCCCCCCCCCCCCCCCTGTCGTTTCACCGCCTTCTGATTGACTCGGAGCAGCGCGGAGCTTCCTCCGGCCATTCACCCTTACGTCTATCTGCACGTGACGCTATACACGAGGCCGTACGTGATGCTATACGCAAGGCCGTACATAATGCTATACACAAGGCCGTACGTGATGCTATACGCGAGGCCGTACGTGAGACTATACGTGAGCTCGTACGTGAGCTTGTACGTGAGCTCGTACATAAGGCTATACAAATTGGCATGATGTAATTGCTTGTGTTGTACATGGCCGCATTTGGAGAGAGCATTCGGAATTAGTGAGCGAGTTAAGCGAGCCAATAGGAAGCTACGGAGTAGTCCTCCGAGCCAATCAGAGGGCGGTGAAACAACACCGGGGGGGGGGGGTGTGCGTTTACCAAAAAGGGGGTGTGTGTTTACTAACCCCCATAAATTTTGTGTAAGAATACTAATATTGAGAAGACTATGTGTTTTTTCCAAAAAAAAACGGACTAACAACAACTCCCAGAGGTCAGCTATATGTGAGTCGAAGTAAAGGTGGCTGGGCCCAACCCCCCATATTATAACCGAAAATACGAATCCTTCAGGATGGAATCCCTGTGTAAATCACGCCACCATTTCGCTGCCTTGTGAACGTCACGGTCTTGGCACCACCCTGTGTCTTTTTCAACCTGTCTTTCGGTTTTACCTTCCCCTTTGGCCTTGCAGGCCTACACCCCCTGGAAAAGTGAAAGGATGGATCTGGTTAAGGTACGTTTGCAGGTACTTGCTGTTGGGGACACTGCGAAAGCTGGGTTTTAGTAGCTTAAGTTGATGCGAATAATTCACTGAAGTTGATTAGTGTGAGACCAAAACCATAGGACAATGACGAAACATAGGGTTTCCTTGTTCTCTCTTCCAAGCTTCTGTTCTGAGAAAAATTGGTTGAACACGCTAGTACGAGGGCGTCAATTGGAACCTCATGTGGGGAATTTGTGGTCGCAATGCGAGGACGGGATTCTAATCAGTATAGGTTGAGAGATTGGTGCTCTGAGGTGCTTGAGTAGACAGCAGTCCAACCTCATGACTCTATCTTGTGTGTTTAGCTAGAATCCTCCAGCCAAGGCTAGCATAGGAGCTTTGCGGCACCTGAAAACACTACATTCCCTTAAGCCATAGACATGTTTAGAAAGTCGCCTAATTCCCGGGTCAACTCCCACCAGCAGTAATAACTCAGACACCAAAGGCCTGCTCCCCACCCTCCTCAGATTTCTCCATCCTGCTTGGACTTGTCACCTTCCCTAACCTTCATGTCTCCTTCGGGTTGTTGGTCCTTCTTAAACTTCTTGGTTTCCTCAGATCTCATCGTATCCAATCTAGCGCACCATGCAGGAATGAGGCCCGCAGTCCGCTTGCAATACCGCTTATGAAATCCCCAGTCGGCGCGCTGACACTCCTTAGAGCAATAGCGAATCAAGTTGCATCCGCTGCAAGATCGTATGTTCTCCATGGAGCCGCACGTCTGGCAAAGCTGTGAGATTGAAGGTCCAGTTGGGTAGTATGTGGTGGGCTTCCAGCCCTCCAGAGTTTGAGAAATATCGACTCCATGATGTTATCCAAACACGTAGATGTCTCAAATTCGCCACTTACCATCAGCGATAGACTTGGTACCCCGCGGAACCAACATTCTCTGTCGCCCGTCGTCGAGGAAGCTCAGGATTCCCTTATCTTCTGTCCAACGAGCCGGGGGTATCATGTCAACGATCGGCTTGCTGAACTTGTTGCACAGAATCTGGAGCAGTGACGCGCGGAATTCAGGGTTCGTTGCCTGTTCTTTATAGAAGAAGGCGCTGGCTGGATGGTTGGGGTCCATGCGATTGAGCATCAACTGCACCAACTCGTCCATTGACTCGATCGTTTCTCCTTCCATGAAAAAGAAATTGGGATCCTTCAGATCTTGTTTGGGGGGCATTGTGGCGATTTGGTGAGAGCCAAGGACGCGAGTGCCGTGGAAGTGGACCGATATTGGAGTAGGTTAGTGAGGCGGTCGAGGAAATTGAAGGAGAAATGAGATTGAGACTCGCTTAGCATGACTAACCTGGCAAGCGAGTGCACGGGCTTCACGGGCTCAGGTGAAATGGAATCGCGACATAAGCGAACACCAAAATCTAGTCGCAGGCTTTGTGTTCAGAAACAAAGTCTTTCGGGATGCTCAAAGCAGTCTATAGGAGCTGTGTAGCTATGCTTTCGCTTGGCATTGGTAGTCTACATTATTCACTCTTTGAGTGGTCAGAGGGTCCCTCAAGGCAGGAAAGCAAATGAAAGATAAGAAATGCTGAGAAGAACCCATCGTTCCATGTGCTAACGCCACGGAGTCCTGTCCCCTCATTTGGGTACAATCTTGATAGCCTTCCGGCCGCCAAAGAACAAATAAGTATTTGGCGGCTTCTCCGTGCCCTCTTCGATCTTCTCACCGTCGACATTCTTTCCTTGTCCGGACTTTTACTCTTGCGAGTGTTTGCAAAGAGGTTTGTGGGTCTTCCAGCCGGCGCGTTGGCATGTCTTCGAGCAGTACTGAATCTATCCACAGTTGCCACAGACCGACAGGCCGTCCTTCCTACCACACTCGCTGCATCCATCCTGTGGGCGAGATCGGTCAGGGAAGTATGTAGTAGGCTTCCACCCTTCCGGAGCAGGTTGTTTGAGAACTAGACCAAAGCTTAGCCAGCTTCCTTGACGTTATGATAAAGACCAAATTCACTTACGTTCCGCCATGTCCTCGCCCCGAGCCTTTTTCGTGATCGCCTTCCCAATCAAGCCCATATAATTGATCGCCTTGAATTCCGGTCCCTCTTCAATAAACTCATATTCACCATCATTTTTGCTCCAGTTTGCGGGGGACACGGTATCAGTAACGGGTATTCCGATCTCGTTTGCCTGGCATTGGAGCTCCGCAGCTCGGAAGAGCGTTGGTGGTTCGATGTGTTTTCCAGAAATTATACGCCTGATGAGTGCGGTTGAGGCGGTTCTGCATCAGCTCCGTGAAAGCCTGGAGCTCTTCTTCCGAATGGCCCTTGCAGCCTTTGGCCCACTCTTCTGGTTTCTCGCTTCGGTCGAGAAACGCGAACGCTGTCATGGCATCGTTCGGATCGGACATGGTAGCCATGATGGTAGGTATGCGTAGTCTTGGAGCTGCGGGTAATGTTTTGGAGCTGTTAGCTTGGTGAGGTGTTGGTGGGTGGGAAAGAAGATATTGAGGGGGAGGAATGGGTTGAGGAGCTTTGAAGTGGGTAAGCAAGACTATTCCTTACGTTGGTGAATAGTATCACTGAACCCTAACAACTGCAGACAATTACGGAAATGTCCGGACTTTGCGTGTAAGGAAAGCTCTGGGCTATAGAGGTAGCTTATCATGACGATCACTATAGCTATTCACACAGGAAGAACGGGATAAGATCGGGAAAGGTTTGGCATCACATATTTATGAGTACATGCCGAGTACACATGAAGGATGTTACTATTGAATGCTTGCCTGACATGGTTCTCCCGTTCCTACTGATTCTGTAAGAAAAGCCAAAGTGAAGAGTTTCATGTCTGGTGCTCAGTAGCAAAGGCTTTTAGCAAAAGCGCCCAACGCGAGCATATAGCTACATGGATTCAGCTATTAGGTGGCTCTGTGGCTCTGAACTCCCTTGAACACCTTGATACGCTTGCAGAGTTCCTTGTGACTTTCCGCATCAGCTTCCTGACAGGTTTCAGAGCAGTATTCCATAGTGAGACACTCCGCACACTTGAGAAGCTTCCCCTTCGACATGCACTCAGGTTGAAATTGATGTGAACTCTGATTTCTATGGGTGTCTAGCTCGTTGTTTATATACTAGGGGAAGGAGGGGGGCCAGCCCCGGGGGCATAACGTGGTATCTCTTCCTGACGCGTTACTTGATTCATCCTGTTTCCTGATACAGTACTGATACCGTGCTGCAGCACTGCTGTTGCACTACCTGTTACTTCCTCCTGTATCAGCATGTTATCCTGATACGTTACTGCATATGAGTTGCTGACCCTAGGTTGTAGTGCTGCAACCCGAGTCATGCACTTGTCGCAGACCGGCTGACGTCGGCGCTTTGTGGGATAGTACGTCACAGGCTTCAAGCAGGATTGATTCTCCGGAGCATTCAAGTCTCATGCTCAAGTCAGCACATTCATCCATCTAGTGAAGGTATAGTAAATACACTTACCTAGCTCATCTTCCGGCCAGCAAACCTCTGCCTTCCACCAAACTAGAATGCCATGTTGACTGGGCTCGTAGACCGCCTTAGCATTCTCATCTTCATTCAGCAGCTCGCACGCTTTCTCCGTTGCCTTCGTGTCATGCGTGACATTGCCATTGCCAGTCACCGGTGGATCTGCGATGATCGCTGTGTCAGGGCCTGTAGTGGTTACCGGAATTCCTACTTCGTCTGCTAGCTTCTGGAGACGGTATTCTCGGAAACGGGGAAGTTGCTCGGCTTGTTCCCAGACGAAATGGGAGGGATGAGAGGGGTCGTGACGGCTTTGAATCAGCTCGGTGATGACGGCGCTAGGTTCGTGGAGGAGGTGGGCGAACGTTTCGGGGATCGAGCCTTGTTGGTAGGCGTGGAGGAAGGTATTGTAGGGATCTGATTGCGAAGGCGGCTCCGCCATGTTTGTTATGTGGGGGAGGGTCGATCAAAGTGTGGGTGTGGATAGTAGGAAGGGTGTCAGAAGTTGAGGAAAAGAATCACGGAAAAGAACCACGGAAAGGACTTAGGCAAATTGATCTATCTGCACGCTTTGGTGAATGGACGAGCACGCTGAAGGAGTTGCATGACCGTTGGCACATTTTTAGCAGTCCAATTGATTCATTCGATGCCTAGGCCAGTCTCCAATCTTGGCGAAGCGATATCTTCTTCAAATCTCAAGATCCGTCGGAGTACTCGACACACCGCCAACCAACTGTGCACGAATCTCACTAATGCAAACGCACCGCCACAATCTGCTCGCATACACCCTGGTGTCTTGCCAAGTCTGCCCTCTGGCAGGCGATTGAGCAGTACGCTACGCTGGCGCAGCCGTAACACATAAATTCCAGCACGCTGAGATTCCGGCAGGTTGGGCAGAGGCAGTCCACTATCATGCGAGTTGGATGATACGTCTTAGGTATGACGCCTGATCCTGGCGCGACTGTGATATCATATTAGCTGTGCCCTAAATACCCCTCGATTGGTACCACTCTCGACTCTGCAATGTTCTGATTCAAAACGTCCAGGTTTTGGCATCATAGAGAGCCTCGTCAGGGTATCCCTCACGGTAGCGCCCGGGCTTGGGGAGAGACTCACTGATTGCAGGAGGATGATTGACGGCTCCATGTGCTGTGCCGATAGTGATGCACTTTCCAAGGTCCATAGTCTCCCGGAGAGTGAAATAGTGATGCGGAACGACATCGGTAATGGGATAGCCCTGGTGATTTGCGACGACCTGCATCTGCGCGGGTCGAAAGAGAATGCTCGTGTGGTTATCCTTCAAGAACTGGTACCACTGATGCACGGTCAATCTCTCGCGTGCGGCCATCACAAGTTTGTTGAATTCCTGTAGTGAGAGGGCTTGGAGTTCATCGGGGGCGCCACCACGCAAGCAGAGGAAACGGGTGATAGTTTCGGGGTCGCTGGGGTCGGCCTTGGGGGCCATGGTGATGGTATTTGAGGACCCTCAACTTGTTGTGTAGGTGCGGAGGATGCAAGAAGATCTGTGGAAGTGCGTTGTTGAAGTGTAGTTGATGTGGAGTGCACGGAACCCTAGTCGTTTTCATGTGAAGGTGAAGAGATCTCTCACTCCTTGACGTCATTCGCCTCGTTGCTTTCCAGCGTACAGCACCTCTTTGACACTATCTGTAGTGCCTTGATAGCACGTGAATTGCGAGCAAACCACATCTTCAAAACTGCGGACACCTTGCTGGGCCACCCTGCACTGTACGGTCGCGAGATGAACTTTCGTGCAATTTCATTCGTCTCATGTCAAACACTCTGCAATGCCATTATTTTAGTACTCTACATGATTCTATTCATCTTCCTCTCAACGATACGAAGTATAATATATTCGCTGTCTCAGCTACATGTTCACCTCACGGCGCTTGTGATGCCTTCAGCACCTCTGTAATGACTCCAGTGTCTCCCGATATCTCAAGGTTACAATACGGCGGCATTCATGTTTGTGACCAAACTTCGACTCGCCATCATCCCAACTCCGCCACCGACATTCATCCGAGCAGTAGTTCACAGAGGCGCAAGCAGTGCACTGGTGGGCCGGGCTCCCCTCGTTTTTGCAGGGTGAGAACGAACAGATTGGGGAAGGCTTTGGATAGTAAATAGTTGGACGCCAACTAGAATCTCGCGGAACGTATATATTGAAGCAATCTTAGCATTCGAAGACGCCACCGCCTGCGCATTCACTCACAATGCCTCGCCGGCTCAACTGTTTTCTCGTCTTTGGTAATAGTTATCATCAGTTTCTCCGGAGACTTTCTCCGCGTGCAGTCGACGAGATACTCGGGGCACACAGCGTCGGTGAACGATGTTCCTGTGTCTGTTGCCAAGGCTTGCATCCTTCGCGATCGAAATATTTTTGAGAGATCGTTTCCATAAGAAGGATGAGCGGTATCAATGTATTTTTGAATGAAGTTTTGGAACTTAGGATCTTGCATCTGAGCCAGATGATGCCTCACATATTCTCTATCAGTATCAACGCCTGTGTGCGTAGCCTTGACGAGAAACTTTGGGCTCAATTCTGCAGGCTGTGGAAGAGACATGGTTGCTAGATACTGCCTAGCCCGATGCTTCCAGATTCGGACGGCGATGAAGAAGAGCACAGAGACATGGTACAAGTACTTCAAGTATTTCCAGGGAATCGTTGTTCGTCCGCTTCGTACTTATTGCCTATCGAAGATAGTAGCAAACTGGTAATGATCACAAAGCCCCGTCACAGCCTTATCACAAATCAACATCTTAGCCTTCTGGAGGTCATATGAATTCTTGTATGGAGTTCAGGAGTGACTAGCCGGCACTAGTTCAGTCCAGATGCTCACAAACCATATGTAAAACCCAAACCAAAGCCCAAACCAAAATATTTGTTTGCCGATCACCCTACTATCTCAAGTCTTAGAAGTCTCTGTGACTGCTCCCTCGACCTTGTTGTCCTCCGAAATGCCTTTTTCCTAATCTTTCAAGTTTTGGGTGGCATCGCAACACTTCTTGTGAACCGACCACTCCGCCTTCTGGCATTTCTCAGAGCAATACTGAACGGACAAGCATCGGGAGCACACGCTGAGGTCGTTTGAAGCCTTGCGGTTACGGCAGAAAGGTACAGAGTGTGGGAAGTAGACGTCAGGCTTCCAGTTCAAGTCTCGAGGGATGACTAAGTTCCTAATTAATATAATTTCATGAACTTTTTTTTTCAACAGTCGCGTAGAAGGTACTCGCCATTTTCCTTTGGGACTACCCTAAGCTGTCCACCCCCAAAAGCCCGAGAACCCCCAAGGTGTTCGGATCCGTTTGTCCCCCCTTCATGACACATAGCTCGAGATATTCTGGGGGTACAGCGTAGGTAATTAGGGAGGCTGCTTGGTTGGCTAGCGCCTGAAGCTGCTCGGCTCGAACTTGTCTCATAGCTGTGGGGCCCTTCAAGTTCCAGAAGGGACAGTTAGGGTTGACGCCTTCGTTGACCATGTCGTAGAAGCTGTCTATCTCGTTTTGTGGCCAACCGGATATGAAGCTCTCCACATGTTCTGGTCCTCCTTTGGCTTCCCACTCCATAAGGGGATTGGGACTGTCGAGGTTGGAAGGCATGGCTGCTGGTTTGCGGCGTTTATAGGGTGCAAGGTTCAGGTAGACATGGTACGACTGATTCATGAGGTAGCCAGCGAATTTCTGACGTCAAAGTAAAGACTTCGAAATGATGGCATGGTTTAGGCCTCAAGCGTGGGCTTGTAGATCACTCAGTAAGCGTAGATCTATGTGCTCCATAAGTAGGACCTCATACCTGTGACCTCAACCTCCCTTAACTGCGGTATCAACCGCCATTCGGATACACTCTTCGAGTCACGTACTCTCCTATTTATCACGTATCTAAGCTCACTCATGTACCTGAATATAAAATGCCATATAATTTTAGCAAACTCTTCCATCGCTGACTTTACTTAGCAGTTAATAATCAACCCAATTAAGTCCAACTAACATACGATGAACTAAAACGCTGCCGCTCTAAACATTCCTTCGGGGCCGAAGACTATTCACGTAGTCCAACTCCACTGTCTGTACTACCTTGAAAACGTCATTACGTCGTGCCCCAGGCTGTAATCCTGCCATCCGAGATCTATCTTAAACAGAGAACGGTACAGGGCAATAGATTCCCATTTCGTCTTAAACCGTAAAACACAGAACTAGTGGGGAGTTTTGGCTGCCTATGGCCGCTGGGATAGCAAGGCCGAGCATACTAGTCATGTCTACGCCATCGGATGATAGACTCCAGTAATACAGACTTCGCCCGTTGGAGAACACTCGTGAGATAGACTACCATAATCTTGCCGTTTGCTGCTCATTGAGAATCAACACGTAGAGTTCAGAAGCTCCCAGAATCGGCTTGAGCTCCCACACGCTACCTAATTCACCATGATCAAGATCCAGAGTCCCATTTCGCGGCCAATCCGCCATTTCCCATAGAACTCGCCATCTCAAGCCGCAGAGTCCCCTGGTTCCTTCTCCCCAGCGTTATTGCCCTCCGGAGCAATGGGTTTTGTCTCCTCTCTAAAGTCTCTGATGATATTACATCCAATCTTGTGATCTTTCCAGTTTGCCTTCTGGCACCACGCTCACCGGCCCGCCGGACGCATACAAGGAGATCATAAACGACGGCCTCGGGGATGCTTTCCACCTCTACAACCTCCAGCGGTCGAAGGGACAACCACAGGTGCGTTGTCACGCTTTGTGATGGAGGAGCCATCATTAAGCCTAAAAACGGAGGTGAGTGATGTTTAGCTGGTCAGCAGTTCACGGTACGCTGATGTTGAGGTAGTTGCTCCCCTGATCCTCCGAAGGTCTATCTCCCTGAGCTTAAGATGGTCTGTCGTACTTGTAAGACTACACAGGGTTTGCGCTTGTGCACGGGTTGCTCTCTCTTTCAGTACTGCTCGACTGAGTGCTAGAAGGTGCATTAGAAGGTTCACAAGAACTTTTGTCGCATGATCAAACGTATGAACGCGAAGGCGGAGGTGGTCGGTGAGGGTTATGGAAAGGGGAAGGTGGCTTCGGAGGAGAGTAAATTGGCTTCTGAGAATGGCGATGCAGCTCCTAAGGATGGCAAGGCGACCGAAGACGATGGGGAAGCTTGAGGGTTGAATGATGGGCAGGCATCAGTCTCCGCTTCGAAAAGGGTTCCTTGCCTTCACGGGATAGCAACGGTAGTGCGAGGGGTTGATGGTTCGGTTTTGTATCTGCATAGCTTGCGCTATAGCTGATTACTCTACCTGAACATTAGGATACAAAATCAACTCTTTTTTGCACATATCGGCTTTGTCAATGCCTTGCCAATTGATGTTTGTCGGGAAGTAGCAGTGACGGCCACGGCAGGCGCACGTCACCTCTTGTATATAGTCTCGCCTTCCCCTAGACCTCTCTCTCTTCTGTATCATCATCAACATCCAATCCATTAATCACGTACACAGCATAAAACTCGTTACTCCGTCAAAGTGTTGATTCTTGATTTGATATCAGCATTCTTTCACCGTCAGGCAGTCCGTGAACGCCTTACAGAAGCACAGTCCGCTGGTACTTCGACCACATTCTCACAGCAATTCTCTCTACCACAGCCACGATGCCGCCTCCAACCTGGAGCATCCACCATCCAGAGAGCGGTACTCATACCAAGATCACTTGGGGTGACGATGAGAGGGGCACGAAGAAATATGAGGACCTCATGAAGGGTCATGGGCCTGCTCTCCGCACCTTCATGGCGATGATCGAGGAGACCCATAACCAGGGACATCCCTCCTGGCGCCTGAGAGGCAATCGAACTATAGAGCAATTCCGCGCCGAGAAGATTCAGGAGGTCGCAACACTGACGGAGACGCCTATCATCGATAGCTTACCGCCAGAGTATATCGGAAAGAATTGCGATGTGGGGATTGGAAGAGTACCCATCATTATTAAGCCGAAGCCAGATGGTGAGTCCCAACGCGAATTTTCTCGATTTCCCGCGTGACAGAGCGTGAGACTAATCTAGCTGTAGTTCCTTCCCAAGACCCGAATTGGCAGCCGACTACCTACCTCCCTGAACCTCGGCCCTATTGCATCGTCTGCTACTCTGTAGAGGTCCCCAAGTTGTGCACAGGCTGTTCTTCTGTCCGATTCTGTTCCACGAAGTGCCAGAAAGAGCACTGGAAGCGTGGTCACAAGCACAATTGCCGCCATATCGCCGACTTTAGGAGGGAAGCGAACGCCGCCGCATAGGGAGAGAAGTACGGAAGCTTCCGGGGATTGCCAGTAAGCTGTCCAGGCTCAAGAAACTTGAAGGCTGCGAACGAATCTCAAAGTCCTGGGACTCAGGATACTTCGAACATGGTAGGGAACGGGGTCTTGGGCTCTATGAGGCTATGACAACCTGACCGATTTCTGGCACACGGCGCCTTAACCTCTGGGGAACTCTCGGTTGCATACGCATATATCGTGCATGGTCACTCGTTTCCAGAGTTGCTAGAACAATAAACGAAGCCACTCTGTTCGCAGAAACTTGGCATTGAATACCGGAACTGTATTGTAACACCGAAACTAAACACGCACATTTGTAATACGTCCGTATTTTGATCTTTTGGTGTTGACTACCACTCGCAGAACCGCCTCATAGCATTGAATATGTAGCCACTTACTTCCTGTGAACCCGCTCTGGCACCAATCACGTGCTCAGCTAATCATCCACTTAGCATGGAGCTTTTAGCGCCGTCGCAATTAGCTCCTTTTGCAATCCACCACTACAAAAGCTCTCAAATCTTCATCACGACCACATCCGCAAGCAATTCTGGTTAAGGTGCCACCACGCCTCCTCCAAATAACCCAACACGGCTCTTCCACCACCCCGAGACCGGCTCCGAGGTTGTGGTCGGGTACAACGCAAATGGAGCAACGGAGTATCAGGAACTCTTCAAGGAAAAACAACGAGGCCACTACCCAAGCTTTCCTGGGTCTCTTCGCAGATGTTGTCAACCCAAAGTACCCATGCCGAGCGCTGAAAAGGGACAAAACAGACCAGCAGCTCCGAGCCGAGAAACTACAGTCTATCGCAACACGTTCAGTGACTATCATTGACACGATTCCCCCTGAACAAATCGGGGGCCGATTCTCTGTGGACATTGATAATTTGGATATTCTTGTTACGGCGAAGAACCTTGGTAGGTAGATGTGGCGGCTTAGAGCACTTATAGAAACGCTGGAGGATGGAGCTGATGATGCTGTAGTTGCTCCACAAGGCCACAATTGGAAGCCTGCTATCTACTATCCCGAGCCGGAGCCGTTCTGTCCTATCTGCAAATCACCGCTGGGCCTGCGCTTGTGTACCGGTTGCTCATGTGTTTCATACTGCTCGAGGGAATGCCAGAGGGTGCATTGGAAAGATCACAGGGACGTATGTCGACACATCACAGGACTGAAGGACAAGGGTTATGTTGCAAAGGAGATCGAGACAGCGAACCCGGCTTCAGAAGGCCACGAGGGAGTTTTTGTGGGCGACGAGATAATTTTTGAGGGTGTCTGGAGGGTGTTGGAGAACAGCGAGGGGGTTGCGAGTGATTCCAAACCCTGATGCAGCGGCATTGCGACGTCGACCATGGACTGGGAAATGCTGGGATCTGGGCATTGTAGCTTAAGGACGTCTTCAAAACTTCTCTAGTTGATCAACGAAAACCTCTCAGGTTTTCAAAAGCTGCAAAATTAAGGTGGTATGTCACGGAACAAGGAGCTGTATGCCGTGTACGTAATGTATCGGATGATGACGATGATGTAGGAGAGAGAGGTCTGGAGGAAGGTGAGGCTATATACAAGAGGTGACACGATACAAGAGATGACACGTGCTTGCCGTAGCGCTCACTGCTACTCCCTGACATGGTATCAGCATAGAATTCTCCATCAAACGTAGTCAGAATCATATGCCAGGAAGTACAAGTTATAATGTTGCGGACACTCCCCTTCGGCAATGTTCCAGCAGATTCTGTTGGGGGTGAAGTGACGAATCGAAACGAATTCACCATTCTGCAGCCATGAACATGTTACTAAGCGAAAGAAAAGTCACCTCCCAGTGTTGCTATGAACTCTACGCTATCTCCAGCTACACCCGCAGCCCTTCAACACCACAACCACACTCACACAACTCGCAGGATCGGCCTTGCCGTCATGGCCTCTTCAACATGGAACATCCCCCACCCGGAGACCGGCTCCAATACCTACGTTACGTACCAGCCGGGCGACAAGCTCAAAGCCGAAGGCAAAGACGATCCAGCCGCATTTGCTGCAGTGATAGCCGATCTCGCCCCCAAAGAAGTTTTTGAAGCCTTGCACGCACTCATCGATGACGCTGCCACCCCAGCTCACCCCTCTTGGAAGTCCAGAGGGAACATCCCCATCGCCCAATTCCGAGCCCAAAAAATGCAAACATTCGCCAACCTCACGGAATGGGTCGTCACCGATGCAGTTCCTCCCGAGCATCTCGAGCTATGGGTTTTAGAACAGAACGAGGAGGGCTTGGATCGATCTTGCTCTGTGAAGTTCCCCCCAGGCGGGTTTAGAGTCGCCCCAAGCAAGCCTAGCAAGTAGAGACCGCAGGTTCACAGACAAATGAGGAAGATTGGAGATGCTGACTCGTATCGATAAAGTTGACGCAAAAGATCCGAACTGGCGCCCGGCCGTCTACTACCCCGAACCTCGACCAGCCTGCCGCGTCTGCTCGAAGCTGGAACCTTTGCGCTTGTGCAGCGGCTGCTCGTGCGTCAAGTATTGCTCAACGGCTTGTCAGAAGGAGCACTGGGGACGCCACAAGAAAACCTGCCGTGCCGTCTCTACGTCGAAGCAGGAGATGCAGGCGGAGGGCAATAAGGATGAGCAGTCGGCGTAGGAGGCCATCCAGGATACCGGCGCTTGAGGCAGCGAGGTGATATACAAACATTAGCAAAGTCACCACAACTATCGAGATTCATAATTGGTCTTTTAGATGCTAGATTACTAGGATTGTAACATTCTCCTGTAACACAGCCGCTTCAGCAACTCTTCGATAGCAGGACAAAGTTGCCCTTTGAAATTAAGCTGACCAATGTTTTCAATCCTAATAGAAGCAGAGAAAGGCAACACCAGACCATTTTGTAGCAAACCGAGAAGCAATCCTTTTTGAAACGTCTCGCAAGAATGTGCTGCAGAACGACTCAGCACAGCATGCAAGATCTCCACGTAAATAGCACCTAGAACCTGTTCTTCGAGCATATAATAGCTAACACATGTTTACATATAACGGTTTTTCGGGTAGGTTCTATGTTCATAATTCACCAGTAAACATTCAGGCCCGTGCACTTGTTCGTTAGACATAAAAAGGCCTTTTCCAAACATGCTGCCTCCTTCTCAGCCTACCATCACACCACTACAACAGAACTTGGAAGTGTCCAGCTACCACATCACTACACCAGAACCTGAAAGTGTCTAGCAAACGAGCAACCATGCCCCTAACCCTCAAGTACGATGAGGAATCGTTCACCCTGACCGGCAACAAGGACTCTTTGTACAAGATGTCACAGGGGGAGCTGGATGGATTTTTCGCCATGGTCAAAGATGGCAGCGACACCAACCATCCTTCTTTCAACTTGAGGGATCCCGCCACCAGGGCCCAAGTTCGAGCCATCCAGATCCGGGGCCTCGCCAACCGCGCCCTGCTCCCAGTCACAGACACGGTTCCCCCGGAATACCTCGAACTTTGCATCTTCGAGCCGACCCGTACCAACCCGAGCACGGTGAAGTCCTGCGGTGTGACTTTCAAGAAGGGAAGAGTCACTGTTTCCCCGAAGACGAAGGCAAGTTTCACTTGAAACACCGCTGCTCGCAACAATGAGAGGTGAACTGATTGCAATGCAGTTACGCCACCGGATCCCAATTGGAAGCCGGCTATTTACTTTCCGCATCCGTTGCCTCTATGCCATGCCTGCAGGCGTGGACAGAACTTACGCATTTGCTCCCGTTGCTTGTCGGTCGCGTACTGCTCTACCGAGCAGAGGTGGCAGAGCCTGTCTGGTGGAGGCATGACGACTAGAAGATTGAGGTCCTCCTGGATGTTGTTGCCGTGCGAGGTGGTGGAGGTTGCAGGCAGCTGGGGAGGTTTTGTAGGCTTGGATGTGCGAATTGGTTCACGCGCTGATGAATGCTGAAATAGTCTGCGAGTCTCATGCAATTACTGATCTTAACTGCTTCATGAAGTCCTTCGAATTGAAAGCGCGAATGTTCCCATCTATATATTTTATAGACAGTTATGGACAGAACAGAACTTCTTACATTTCCGTGTTGATTGCTGGAAGCACCGCGTCAATAGGTCTAACACTCAGGTTGAAATTGATGTGAACTCTGATTTCTATGGGTGTCTAGCTCGTTGTTTATATACTAGGGGAAGGAGGGGGGCCAGCCCCGGGGGCATAACGTGGGATCTCTTCCTGACGCGTTACTTGATTCATCCTGTTTCCTGATACAGTACTGATACCGTGCTGCAGCACTGCTGTTGCACTACCTGTTACTTCCTCCTGTATCAGCATGCTATCCTGATACGTTACTGCATATGAGTTGCTGACCCTAGGTTGTAGTGCTGCAACCCGAGTCTAACTGAAGCAATGAGCTCAAGTTCAGCAAACTTTGTATTCTTTGGTATGGGTTTGAAAATTCGAATCAGATTGCTGTACTAGTAGATTTTGTACCCGTACAAGTGGTCACGTATGCTATGATCGTTACAGACGACAGAACCCTGCTACATTATGCTCCATGCCACTGGGTATGTTGAAAGAGTATCTTGGAAGCAAGACTTCGTGCAATGCCCGTATGTCTGTCCAGGCCACTTTTCTCTGGATCGCAATATCGACATGTCCAAGACAGGTGACCCCGTTTTTTACCGATCAACACTACTTATTGTTGAGCGACAAACCTGTGCCTCCACGTCTGGATACTTGAGTCTACCATCACTATATCCACGCAGCACCGCTACAGCAGGCACTCCAGGCAGCTGCTCTGTTTCGTTCACAGGGCGCATGAGGTAACTCGACCAACTATCAGGCCTCTCGGGACGGGGAAGGCTTGATCTTCCAAAGCAGCTGTGAGGTAAACAATTGCAGATCCTGCGGAGCAGACTCGGAACATAGTGCACCCAAACTGGCTTGGAGAACGGCAGACAGCCACAGAGGACGCCAACAGAGACTTCGATAATGCACATAACCTCGACAAGGTTTGCGCCGTCTAAAAGCAACATTAGATTCCAAGTCTAAAGCTAGGGGGGTGCGACGGACGAGGGGAAAGGGGGACCTACACAGAGGATCTCGGGAGCCGATTATGTTATACAGAATCACAATCCTAGCCACTCCGCACGCGACCACCAGAAGCCCAAGTAAGAAAGTAGATATGAGGCCCAGTCTCTTTTGAATGGGTATATTAATCGTCATGATTTGGGGAACGGGCCATAAGAAGACGAGAGCGTCAGTGATGCTGTTGATGATGCCGGCAGGCAATAGCAGGGACCGAGCTTTGATACAATTTCCGTGGACGCTCAGATCCCAGTAAGCTTTAATTGGGCTGGTAGCACTGTTAGTGGAATATTTCAGTGGTGACCGGGTACCCAACTTACGTGCATTGGAAGATGGTGCATACTACTACGGCAATTGTCCAAAGAGAGAGTGTGACTAATATAACTCGGCAGAAGCACGTGTTCATTCTTGTAGTCCAAAAGAGATGGTTGTATGCTAATAGCATCGACATCTGAAATTACCGTTAGGGTCTCTGCGAGGCGTCGAGAGTAGAGCGTAACTCACTTTGGTTGTGGAGACTGCGATTGGCCAGGTAACCTGTGTAGCGAAGGCGGTCTATCCCACGGGTTAAATTTCGATTTCAGGCGGAGGCACCTCGATACTCGCCTTTCCAGCCCGGATTTGCCATTGCGGTCGGGCGTCCCAAGTATGATAGCCTTGCCCATATGCGGTAGCCACCCCAATTACTGTCATCATCGCTACACTCGTTATCTATCGAGCCAGTCAGCCCCAGTCCATATCAGGATCAGAAAGGAAGCTCCAATACTGCAGCAAATATCATCATTGCGTCATGTTTCGCAAAGCTGCGCTTCATATAGTGACCTCCCAAATATCTGACAAATAGTCCAAAGGTGATTATCCCCGCCCCGACGCCCACCATGGCTCGTAGCATGACGACCTCGGTTTGAGGATCAATGTAATTCCTACCGTAGATAGATGTCAATCTCTCACTGGCAGAGTATGTCGAGATACAGTGGCGAAAGAGGGAGAAGGAGTAGTATGCTCATGGTGGAGGCTTGGATTTAAAACGGGTTCTTACGGTTTCGGCCCTGTTGCAGAAAAGTGTCAGCCTGGTCTCTCTATAGTGTGGGAATTGACCTACATGTGGCTATAACTTTTGGAGACGGCACGAGTGCCATTGTTTTATTAATGTGGCAACCAGGATCGAACCTGGATAGCTAGCGGGGTGCTTCGTGTTTATCGGAATGTTTCCGGTAACAGGCCTAGCAACATAGATGCAACGGCGAGGATAATAGCGACGACAACGAGAATACTTATGGGTAGTCCTCGAGTAGTGGAATAGGAGATAACTCCAGAAGCCGCATCAGCAGGGCGGGGTGAGGGCAGACACGCAGCCTACGGGAAATGCCGAGTATGACAATCCAGCGTCTAGCTACGACAGCGGCGAACTTAACTTGTGACAGAAAGCGGCGACTCCGAGTCCGACGGGTATATGGCTGGTAGCATGCCGAGAATGCCGATTTCTGTCCAGGCCTTAGGTTGAGAAGCAGCTTTCTTGGCAAAGAGAGCACATCGATCAAGGAAGTACGCTCTCATCGACAAGAAAAGATGGACCAGTGGGAGCTCGTCACGTCCGCCGCCATGAGAGAAGCTTGGATCTCAAAAGCTACATCGAGGCGCATCGAGGCATACCTACAAGCCACCATTGAGGGGTTCGACGCCTAGAGTGGGGAAATGTATCTAGTCTGCCAGGCTAGACTCGGATTGAAAGAGATGGCTGGAGTGAACAAAGAGATCCCAGCTGGGCGACGAATGCGGCCTCACCAAAAATTCGGCACTTTTGACACGGTGTATCCGAGGAAAACAAGCGAGAAAATCATTCGAGATCGAATCTCCTCGTCACGATTGATCCGCGCATACTTGTCCGCAAACGTCTAAAGGCCTTCGATCCATTGTCAAGAATCTGAACGAGTGTGAAGTTCATTGTTTTGAACATATCGAAAGCTGAAGGATTTACATCAGGTAGTGGTAAGAGGGTTAAAAAGGCCTGTGATTATCTGAGTTTGGTGCTCGACATAGACATCCTGGACGAGAGATGAGGGTCGAAGCAGATGGATCTCGCTGCGGCTCATGGCTTCGGGTTTATTAGTTTTACTGGCTTTACAGTCAGTAGTACAGGGACTATACAAGAAGAAATTTGGAAGTCAGAGTATGTTGACAGACCCTAGGAGTACCTAGCCGCTAAGCCAGTCTCATAAGTGCTCCTAGTGAGTGTAAAGGGACGATTACATGAGCTCAAATCGAGGGTCCAAGGTCTTCTTGCCATCGAGCCAATCATCCCTCTGGTAAGGGCTTGTAGGCGGTCTCGGGAGCGTCGATATCCAATTTAGGCTTCGGGGGATCCGGGACTCTGATGGTCTTGTTGCCCATGACATACTTATTGCGGTCGGATTCGGAGAACGTGATGGTCTTTGTGTTGTTGTTGTAGCTGGGATTATGTAAGCTAAATGCCTCTCGTTCACGCGCTTGCAGGTATCTTCGCCATTGGGTGAATCTCGCCGGGCGGAGGCTTATCTTCGGGGGAACCGAAGAGGACAGCCATGGCCGTGTCGTCGCGCGAGGCCGAAGCCGTCGCACATATGCTTCCTATGTCCATTTAAGGATTTTCCGCTGTCACTGATCGCCTTGTACACGGCGTACTGTAGAAGCAAAGGCTTTTTGGCGGCTTTTCAAGTCGCATACCAAGCCTCTCGCACGGCCTCGGGGAGCGTGTCGAACTGCTCGGACGGTTTCGTAGTCGTGCTCCAAGATCTTCGCCCGCACTTGGTGATCGTTGATGTCTATCGTTGAAGGCATCTTAGCGGACTTCATCTAGTTGTTTGGTCAGACTTTCTGTAGAGGATGAGTATTGTGGGCAATCACGGCGTGCGAAAGGAATGCTGTTGTCACTGGATCACTTGAAAAGTCAAGAATGGGCATCGCAACAAAAGGCTCGTGCGAAGCCTTGCGCCACATGAGATCCTGTGCAGCTATCATCATTCTAACGCCGCATGAGGGGTTTCATGACGCTCCCGGCGATTCAGGAGAGGTACGAGCCTAACTTTCTGATAAGCATGATGCTCGTAGGGCCACCTCAAGCGACGTCAGATAGGTGTACACGCAATAGACGCGTAGTAGGCTCTAGCTGTTGATTAATACACCGAAGCGCCTCACGGCACAACAGAAATCTGTATGCAGAATCTATTCAGGACTAATCTTATAATCCCCCTTCCCCCAACCCCATTTTTTCATCTCGTCCATCGATGACTACTTTACACTACACACAAATCCCCGTGCCTCCCAACCGTGATCTCACACTCAAACCCCCTCCGTAGGCTAATGCACTCAATTTGCCCCTCATCATCCCACTCACGTCTCCTTCAACGCCTCCTTACTCCCCTGACTCAGCTTATTCTCCTCAACCATCTTCTGCAAATGCGCCTGTCGAAGCGGCTTCAACTCCTTCCAATCATGCACCCTGCCAGTGAGACTCTTGACAGTGCGCTGAGCATTAGGGAAGTGAGCGTTGTACCTCTCTGCAAGGAGACTATGCGCAGCGCCCGGATCATCCAGAACAAGCTGGCCGAGGTACGCACGCTCTTCGTCGCTGTATCCGCCTCGCTTTTCGTTGGGAGGCTTGATGCAGGAGCGGTCGACGCGCTTGGAGGGGGTTCCTTCGGGCTTGACGTCTGCATCGGGCGAGGACACGGCCGGGCTGGGGGCGGGAGTCGGAAATGGTACCGCGGAGAGTCTCGTGAACTGCTTACGGGGAGCAGGCATGGTGGTACTCGCTGGATCTTCCGTGTTGTTGGTGCTCTTCCTCTTGCGCGGAGCGACTCGCTTGTGTGGGGTTGCTTCCGCGCGTTTGTTGGGCGTGGGCGACGAAGCGACGGTGATTGCGGTTCCATTCTCCTTTTTGTTGTGCTTCTTGTCTTTGGCAGAGGTTTGTGAAGGTTCTGTGGTTGGGTGTGCGGGAACGGTAGTAGTGGGCGACGAAGCGACAGCTGGTGTCGTTCCATCCTCCTTTTTGCTGCGCTTCTTGCCTTTAGCAGAGGTTGCGGTCTCGTCCTTCTTTTTGCCGCGCGCCTTGCCTTTAGCGCAGGTTTGTGGGGATTCGGCGATTCGGCGTGCCGGACAGGGGGTAGCGGGCTGTGGGGACTCTATGGCTGGGTGTTCTAGAGAGGTAGCGTTGAATGCCTCAGCAGCAGCGAATGCCTTGGCAAAATCGGTTCGCCAAGTGACTTGATCAAGCGCCCAGCTGATGTCTGCTTCAGTGCGGAATGGGATCACCTCCGAGATGAAGTCGGGCGGGTTGTGTATTCCGATCCTTGTGCCTGCACAGTAGAAGTTGAACGCCCCAGTTATGTCGGTGTCACTCCAAACATTGTTTGCCCAGAATTCGAAGACTCTATTAGCCTCCGCCTGTGTGAAGGGCTTGGTAGGAATTGGATGCTGCGAGTCGTTCATCGCCATCTCAAAGAGAGTAGTGGGCAGATTCCTAGGCAGCGGAATAGGGATGGCTAAAGAGCTGCCTTGTCCCCGACTGCCTTCTTGGTCTTTGGATTCATCGTTGGCTTCGGGAGATGGGGGATTGATACTCCAGGCCATGATCTCGGACTCTGGAATGATATCCTCAGGTCGCAGTTGTGGGGCGCGATCTTCCGCTACAGCTTGCTCAACGGGGCCGACTTCACCCCAGTTGACAAAGTTGTCAATGTTATTAGCAAAATAGGCATCCAAGTCATCTTCCATGGCGGTCGGCGACAGGCTGGAGGTTCCTAAATCGAGCTGCATACCCAGGTCCAGATTCATGCTAGTGGATTCTAGAACAGCGAGCGTGTTTTGTGGCGGTGGTGTTGTGCTTTTCCGAGAGTCGCGTGAAAGTGTTTTGGAGCGCGATGACGAGGAAGTAGTCGAGGAAGCGAAGCGCATTTGTACAGCTTAAGCTGGGTCGAAGGAGTGAAAGCTGAGCTCCTTGTTGTGAATGTGGACTATTGTGATCCGGTGGCAGAGGTGTTGTCTCGGGCGGACTTTCAAGATCAACGCCAAAAGGGGCACAACAAACCTCACGTGATCGGCAGATTCACTTTACCTCAGCCCTGCGAAGAATTGTCCACAACCTTCTGTCAATTCTCGAAGTTACCCAGGACTCCAATATCTAGACATGATGTGAAATTGATGTTTTGAAAACTAAGCTACCGTTGTGTTGATCAGCGGACTGGCAGCTGGGTCACTCTTGTCAGTGGTGTCAAGTACGCAGGATCCGAAATGATACAAAACCATTTCGTTCGCCCATACTGTGCACTTTCCGATTCCTAGGGTCTTGCTAAACGCTCGTGCGCCCTTCTTTAGTCCTGCCGGGAGCATCATACGAGCTTTGAATGCTCTACAAGTGAGGTAAGGCATGAGACGATGCAGATTCAGACGCCTCTGGACTTACTGTCCACCTATTATTGAGAGCGGTGCCAAAAGCCCTTGCGCGCCCTTCTGCCACTGCCTGGGGTGCCCCAGTAAGCTGACGAAACCGATAAGCCATGTAATGCAGTGGAATCTGAGTATCCTACTAGCACCACCGTAGCGTCAAGATAGTTCTGTGAGGTCGAAAAGTTGGATGGGAGAGTTGGGATGGAAGCGATGGGATGGGATGATTACGTTACGAAATAAGCGAAACACGCTAAATCTCGACGTTACCTGATCTGCTAAGCGAGATTATCGGACGGCAGCATGGATAGTGAATACTTCCGTGGCCCTGTATTGGCTGTATCTAATTCGCTCATCCAACTAAAAGTACGTAGCTCTTTGAGCTCATGAACTAGACCCGCTTAAAATGCCCGTACGTCGCGCGTACACGGTAGTTGTTTCCCCTACTTCTCTCCGCAAGACCTCCGTCAACATCAACACCTTGCCATCATCAAACACCAACATCCCGTTCCACGCGGCATCACCATGCCTCTCCCGAAGTGGTCGCAGTCCTCCCGGGTTGATGAGTCCCGCATCAGCTTTCTCGACCTGGCTCTCGAGCTTCGCGAGCAAATCTACGAAGCGATCGTCGTGGTTCCTGAAATTCGGCCGCTGACGGACGGAACGCCCTTAGAACACAAACCAAACCTTAACGTCCTCGCGGTATGCCGTCAGACGCGCGCTGAAGCCAGCAAGGTGTTTGTCACCCGGAACACTTTCACTACGTGCCGTGTGCTCCAGGGCTCCGAGTACACCCTGGATAGGTTGGATGTCGCCGTTCTCCAAAACATGGAGAGCGTTGTCAAAGCCGTTCATGCGCCTTGGGTGGACACTGTCACAATTCTGAAGCTTTCCATGTCCTGCGCATCTGCGAGTACCTCGGGGCTTCTCAAATTCCTGCAGCCGAAGCTTGCTCGCCCCTGGATTGGAGATTTCGGCAATTTCATCCAAGAGACCTTCCCAGCAATGAAACAGGTCATGTTCGTCGTGAACCACCCTGGCCTACGCTGGTTCTACGCTCTTGCCGCGAAAGAAAACGGTGGAGATCCCTACGCCGAACTATCTTCGGACGAATACTCTGACAACTCAAACGAGGACTTATATGGCGACCCACATTGGCCTAAGTTTAGCCCCCAATATAGCGACTCTGCAAGCTCCAGCTCGGACGATACAGAAGACTTAAACAACTTCATGGTGGGCATGGGTCTCTCTCTGTTCGGTGATGCGGATGCGCCATCTGACCTTTCGGAATCAGAGGCTGATGAGGAGGATTCAGGGATGGATTCAAAGGTTCCAAAACCTGGCCTAGGCAACGTGGTCGACGCGACAACGATGACAGGAAACTGGGACAACTCGAAGTCGGGCTTGCGCGAGGACGCATGGAAGTCAGAACATTCTAGCTCTAGTTCTAGCTCAAGATCCAGCTCAAGTTCTAGCTCAAGTTCTAGCTCAGGCTCAGATCCGAGCTCAGACGCAGGCGAAAACTCACAACCAGGAGCGAACTTGATGTCCGCCTTACGCAAGCGTAAATGGGAATCGGATCACTCGAGCTCGAGCTCTAGCTCAGACCTAGATTCAAGACACTTGGAACCAGCTTCAACCCACTCCCACGATCACCAAGTCATGAATGCCCTCGGATTCAACCTCAACGGTCTCGAGCCAGAGGAAGATGACCACAACTCGGATTCGGACGACTCAGAGATTTCTTTCCTATACGGAGACGACGATTTTGACAGACACGTCGACGAACCTAGAGAGCTTGAGGACGAAACGAAGGCCGCAATTCACTACGAGATCATCAAATACTGGAAAGAAGAACTGGGCTTCTATCTAGGCATCCCAACATGGGCAGGTTTCGAGATTCTGCCAGGCCGTATCAACGAAGGTCGGTTGATGGCCCCCCACATTGTGGTGGATATGGCGGACATTTGGCAGGAGTTGAAGGCGGAGCGAGACGCTGTAGGTAAGTAGGGGATTCAGAATGATGCAGCGTTCTTTGAGTACGTTGCAAAAATGCAAGTCACTGGTACTGCAGATGAACTGCGCCTGGGTCAGAAAGTCTCCGACCTGCGAATTACTTGACGGTCAGCATGTTTCCTAGGGTGTACAATATCAAAGTAAAAGTGGCTCCAATGCCTTACGAAAGCAAGTACTATTTGCCTTCGACTCTCTCACCAACATCCCAATAGTATGATCAGACGTGAACTCTATATTCTCTCTCCATGTATCATCTACATCTGCACAACCGCCATCACGACCTCATCCTCCTCGCCTCACGCTCTCGCTAGACCACTGCGGTTCCACCGGCCCCGTATCTACAGCCGCCCCTCGCCACTTCTGAATAGGCGTCCACCCCCTATAAACGCTCCTCAGCCGCCCAACCTCATCATTAACCATATACGCCCTCTCCCACGCCAGCGACGCCGCAAAAGTCGAATTCCTCGCCGCCTTCCCATCCTCAAACCCCTCCAAAAACTCGTCTATATCAGGCGCCGTCTTCGTGCAATTCTGCGTTATCACCCGCAGGCGCCGGATGATCCGCGTAGTGAGGTCACTCATGACTTCGTCCTTGCGGGCAACTAGGGGGTCGGCGGATTTATTTGCTGGGATTGCGACGGGGATACAGATGGTCATGGGCAGGCTGAAGAGGCCGTAGGTGACGTCCCGAGCGCGGAGGATGGTGGGGAGGTGGGCGGGAGAGCGGTTTTGCTGGCCGATGGTGATGAGGTCGGTGAAGGAGCGGAGGGCGAGGAAGATGAGGGTGCAGGTGAGCGCGGCTTTTCGCCATTGCTGTGGTAGGTTAGTTGGTGGTTCTGAGGTCAGGGGGTGCAAGAAGTGGGAGTTGACCTCGTAGTCGAAGGGGGTGATCGCCGTCCATTGGTAGAAGCCGGCCCAGATTCCGAGTATACTGAGAGTGCCAATGAACATGAATGTTGAGAACGTGACTTCGAAAGCGCTTCTTGCTTTGGCGATGTCGTTGATTGCATGCAGATCCGCGAAGCCAAGCCATGTGAACGCCAATGAGAAGAGTAGACAGATTTGGTAAGCTCCGATGAATATTAGTACGGCGAACACTGCTGAGATTCCGTATGGCTCTCGGCGTAGAGTATGGTATCGCCGCATAAGTCTACAGGCACCCCAGAGAACAAATATGTCAGAGAATACACGGAAGATGTGGTTGACACAGGCGAAAAGGAGGTAGTCGTAGGTCACGGGTGTTCGGTAGTGCCGGATCATGATGTCGATCCAGTTGAGTATGAAGAATCTTCGGACAGATGACATGAGTGTGAACCGCGAAGGGGAAAGGTAAGCCTAACTTACATGCAGAGAAATATCATGCCCGTGTATATCATCTTGGCTTGTGGCCATTCTTTGGGCCGTAAAGCTATCGTGAAGCAGGTCATGATAGTCACGAGACCTGCACCGAGGGCATCAAAGGCGACGACACCCGTCCCTCCGACATCTATAGTCTGGGTCGGGAGGTGCCAGAGTCCCTTCATGATGCGCCTTCGGTGAGTAGGAGCAAACTTACGATGAGTCTTATTCCATGTATGAGTAGCGGCTCAAAGGCCAAATTTCGCGATTTAGCATAGCGCCCCCAGCCTTGTTGTCCTCCCATCTGCAAGAGCTCATGTGATGATGTCGACATCGTGGAAATAGAGCGCTTTCTATGAGCGTGCCCTGGTTTATAACCCGACCGGAAGGAAGTCCCGGCCGTGATGGGCCGTTGGGCACCCGCATGATGCGGAGCAATTGAAGGCAATAATCGGTCGAGGCTGTGTGCTTCATGCATGGGACGTTTCTGAGTTGGCAAGGTGAAGTGCAGTCGACAAGCCATTCAACTGGGATGAAGTTCTAGCCCCCATTGATTTACCCAATCAGATGTTTCCTTTTCCAGCCTTCCTGCAGCTGCCTCGTATCGAACTTTTGCCTGAAAAACTAGGCTGCAGCCGGGCTGCAGCCGAGCCTCAGCCTGACTACTTATCCCTCATTTCGCTATCATTGCTCCGAAGTGATGTTATCGTCAACTGTCTATTGGACGCCCTTTTAGTACTACCACAATGGGCGGCAATGCACTGAGGTAAGGTGCTCCATGCATAATAGATACGAGTACCTTTCGACACCTAAGGCTACGTTTTTCATGCTTGGTTCCGGTATAGGTGGCTGTGTTGTGGACATCCGGCAAAAGGCTCGTTGCAAAAGGAAAAGTGAGCTCAGATCTTCCACTAAGCTGAAGACCTGCCTCCAAAGAGCTTGATCGTCAGGTATTTGTACATAAGTTGGACATAAATCCAAATTGCTTGGAGGACTTGCGGAATTGGACTCGACTGCTACCTTCTCCTCTCGCCATGCCTATGATTCCGCAGGGAAGATTTCGCATGGGACGATACTCCGCTTCGAGATCATGTCAGAGCGGCCATCCCCGATCTTCTCAAGTCCCGGAACCACCACAACATCGACCGTGTAGATAGTCCCTTTGTTATAATCGCCATCCTCGCAATCGTGATAGTTCTCCCCAATCTCGATCTTTTCTCCAATTGCCGGCAGAGAGAGCTGCAATTGCGCAGTGTGTACCCCGAATTGTATGGCAATTTGACTAGACACGCGCACCATTTCATGAACTTGCTCTTCTACCTCTTCTCGGACTCCACTGTTAGTTAGCTTTGCTACTTCCAGGAGAATGGCGTATATGCGATCCACGGCTACTTGAGTATTTTCGGCGCTGAATTGGGCGAGAAGGCTTTCGGAGTGTGAGAGGGTACTACGAGTTGTCAGGGCCTCGTTGATGGTCTGAAAAGTCGCAGATCGCCAAGTGTTTGCAATCCTGTCTTTTCGAAGAAGATCGAATATATCTTCGCTTGTAGCTACTCCGTAAGATTAGGAAATAGTCCTCGTGTGGGCTTCTGGAGACCATCTTACCCTTTCGATTCTTCATGTCAAACAATTCCCGCCACGTGAAGTAAACCTTCATGAGCTCAGCGGGCGCTTTCTCAGGCCCAAAGACGCCAAAACCGAACGGAATGGAAAAGAATTGTTCCTGTAGTATCTTCCATATCGCGCTCTTAAGGAGATAGTGACTCTTCCCGCTCCCAACGCGCGTGCTGAAGTTGGTTGGATCAAGCCGAAACCCAAGTGAATGACCATCTGGGATTCGGAATTCTTTGTTCCGTGGGGAAGTAGTCGAGTCAATCAATTGGCGCAACTCGCTGAACTTGTACTTCAGTTTGTCGTCTGGCCAAGCTTCGTTATCATTCTGGCTAGTCAGGAGTTGACCCACGAGCCTTTTCTCTTGTTCCTTCCTCTCCTGCTCTTTCTGCTCGTACTCCCATCTCAGCTGGGCTGCTTCTGAATCAAGCCTATTTTGGGATGTCCATTCGATGTTCCGGTGCTGTTCCTCCATATTTCTCAGCATCTGAGTATGATCCATAGTCATCCGAGCAATCACGTCCTCGTATTTAGCCTGCATCTTACTCTTCTCTAGACCCATCTGCTGAATGGTGGATTCCGCGTGCTGTAATTGCTCTTCCCTTTCTCGGAGTTGAGTCTGCGTTTGTCTGAGTCTCTTCTTGAGCTCGTCGATCTGGCTCTGGGAGCTCTTGTAAGCCCGCTCATATTCTTCGAGTGAGTGTTCCACTTTCCCTTTCTCGCTCAAAACCTTCCGTCCCCAATTAAAAAGGCCATTAAGCGTTTTATCTCGTTGTCCTAAGATCCCGGTTGGAGCCTCGACCTCACGGAGAAAGCTTTCAATTCGAACTTCGAAAGCCTTCCGGACAGATGAGGCGCTTTCTTCGGATTTCTGCAGCCTTTCCGACTTTGGTTTTGAAGAGAAAAAAGCCATTTTTGATTGAGCATGGGATGCTCTGTTGCGGTGACAAGAGAATCAACCGAGATAATCTCCCCGTCTAGTCGTAGCAAGGAACTTCTAGGGGAACTTGAAGCCGCAATAATCAGGCTAAAGAAGACCGGGAAGCATACTGATTTCGTAGGTCTCGCTGATGTGGTGGTGGAGGCGCGTGGCCTCCAAAGATGAGCGGAATTTGATTGCCGGCTGCGAGGCAAATCTGTTTTGCAGGCACGAATAAGATAGAGCGTCCTGGCCTAAATTTCACCAAAACTAGCTAATGTGCCTCCAATTAGGGTCGGGGTCTGGACCGCGCTGCGTGGAATACCCTGAGAGGTCCGTCTCAACCATCGATAAGCTTCTGGTCAAAGAGGGGTTGTTGCCTTCTTTCCCCCACCTCGCCGTACCAACGAGGCTGAGGCTCTTGGAAGGCTGCCTTATTCACGTGCGTTAACATGGACCCTAGTATACCTATTTCTTCGTTACTGAGTCTAACTATTCAAGAGTTCATGAGCATTGCTTGATCATCATGGCAAATGCAAACCAAGGACCGCGCATTATTCTTGGGCTAGACTACGGTACTACGTACACAGGTAAAGGCTTTCTTTCCAAAGCTACCTCCTTTTTCTGGGTCTGATATCATTCCACTAGCATTGGCATACGTAAATACCAACGGCATCACCCCGGCCTCCCCTCGCGACATCATCGTTTACAAGAGCTGGCCAGGAGGAGAAACACAGAAGGTCCCGTCGACCATCTCGTACGCGGAGTGCTCCTGTGGCAAACGATGTAAGCAATGGGGACACAACATCGACGACAATTCTCTTCGTATGCAATGGACTAAACTCGAGCTGGAACCGCGCTCAATAAGGAGCGAGCTTGAGGTCCTTCGCGATTTGACCAAAGGGCTCGATCTTCCCACCACGCTTCATAACAATCAGGGGGCATTCGTGCCGCGGCATCTGGCAAAAGATGCAGAGGATGTAGTGAGGGACTACCTCTACAAAATAGCAAGACTGTGGTACCTAGATATCAAGGCTACGAGTACGTTTGCTTTGGACCGTATTCCGGTGGACATGGTGGTCACGCATCCCGTCGTGAGTTCAGCATGCGTGTTAAATATGCTTGGCAGTATTCTGATTGACCTGGGTAGGGCTGGTCCTACGAGGCTATGAATAAAACGTTTCGTGCTATAACTGGCGCCTTTCAGAAAGGAATGTTCAAAACTCTACGGGACATCTACTTTTCCACGGAACCGGAAGCGTGTGCTCTTAATACAATTCAAGAGCTTCTAGCGGCGGATCACCATTGTCTAGTCGAAGTAACGTAAACATTCCCAGACGCGATGATCTCGTAGTAATGAGATTTTGGGTAGGGTGATTGCTTTGTACTATGTGATGCCGGAGGCGGCACTGTCGTAGGTTACCTCGTATCTCGATCTTTTGCCACTCACTGACCGTTGTACGACTTGAAGGATCTGGCATCATACAAAGTCGAGCAGCTGCACCCCCTGAAGCTGAAGGCCTGCGGAGGAATCTCCGGTAGTTTCCACAGCGAAACTAGATTGTTCCATCTCTAAGGTGTCACTAGGTACGAAATGCGGTGCGACTCAAGTCGATCGCGCTTTTCTCAAGTGGGTACAACAAAGACTTCAGAACAGGATTTCAGAAAGGGATGTGACTTTGCCGGGCCCGCTTGTTCTCAATCCCTTGGGAATACTCCTCCTGCGGCGATTCGAAGATATCAAGCGTCAATTCGACGGCAGAAAAACCACGGACATCAACCTCCCGAGAAACCTTCCCGGAGGCGGTACGGTCAAGGTCAAAGAACAGGTACAGACCGGAATTCAGGACGGAACGATCTTGCTCACAGTGTAAGCATATAAGAGTTCAAATGCTGCGTGGATACTTCTAATTTTAGGCAGGGATGATCTCAAAGATTTTTTTGAACCAAGCGTCGAAGGGACAGTGAAGCTGATCAAACAACAAGTTATAAAGATACAGCATCCTGCAGATGGAAGCATGCCTGATCAGGTTACTGTAAGGATTAAATGCAGATACTTTCTCCGTTCACATGATCCCCTAATTAACCATGCTTTACTAGAACATATTCCTTGCAGGAGGATTCGCAGAGAGCCCATACCTCTTTGATGAAGTCGAGCGAAGATATGCCAGCAAAGTCGATATCAAGGTGTTCAGGGCTGAGGACTGGTTTGTATACAATTCCCTAAAGACATCGACCGCAGCTAATCATATCGATAGTTGGAGCGGCGTAGTAAAAGGTGCTGTACTGCGTGCTGGGGATCTCGGCATGCGAGTAGACGTCAAGGGCACACGATGTCCTCGACACTACGGTATCTGCATTTCGCGGAAACGAGATGACCAGTTGGATCGCATTACGTGGGTCGTCCGTCAAGGTGACTTGATTACCTCGGATAGCGGTATCAAGGCTACTCTGGTCGGCCAATGCAGAATTTCGAGCCTCGATCTCTTCCATTCAAGGCTCGCCCGTGTGGTGTTCGTAGCTACAGATATGGCGAACCCTCCCGCGACTCTATCGAGAATTGATCAAAGTATGTGGCATTCCCTATTTCCCCTCTTAATTATGGTTGCGGCGATAGTTCTTGCAATATTGCCCCATAATGTGGTGTATAGGTGAAGTAAGCTGCTAATACTCAAACCATTACAAGAAAACAACGAGGTTCACTATATGAACGTCGACGATATACCACCAGTGTCGCCTCAGCAACGGTCCTTAGACGTCGAGATCCGGGTACTGCAAGATGTGAAAGTACGAGTAAAGTGTGACGGCCATACCGTAGCATCCTGTAATACAACCTTATGATTCGTCCTGACCCTCGTGGAAGCCTTCTGGGGTAAAACCTGAGAGACGAAAGTCGTACGGCTTTGCGCTCATCTTTGCAATGACCACTCTGATACAGGATGCGTGATGGATAATTATTGGTCAACAGTCTCCCGGTTGAAGCTTTAGTAGGCGCTAAAGAAGGTAATGTTTCAAATCAAAGGATAAGTTAGTGAGGTAGTGCTACGTGATGGGCTTGGAAAATTGGTACCGTAGCTTCCCCGCAACCATAGGTAGCGAGGGATCAAGCATCTGTGTCATTGAGTAGCGGCGAAGGTAGGACGCCGATATGCAGCCTGTCTCTAAAGTATACACAGGCTCATCAGTTCACGGGATGGAGGCAAAGCGCGAACATGGTGCCACATCACGTGATCCGCCCTACTCCGCTTCCGCTACCCTTAATCATGCATGCAGCGCAAAGCCGAGTCTCCCTGTCCTACTCAACTTTTAATTAAAGCGAATACGACCTCGTGTCGCACGATAGAGGTCGCAAATCAGGCGAACCGTTCGAGGTGCATTTGGGCCTCAAAAAGAGGCAACCGACCCCGCGAATTTCGAAATCGGGCCTCACGCCACAGATTTGACAACTCAGCCTTGCAGGAAGCATTTCCGGCCACGATATACATGTTTAGTGTTTTCTTTCCGCCCTTTCTACCCTGATCGCTGCACGTAGTCAGGAAGCAACATGCACGAACCTCCGTACACGCTATCATTGGTCCCACGCGAATCACGGCCTGATAAGTATCTGCAAGCGACGTATTTCCTAGCCATCAAGCATGCCCACCTGTGTCCGCTATGGAAGTCTGGAAGTTTGTCGACTACTCTGATACTGCTCCTGTTCTTGCGCTGTCCCTCACTGCCAAGCGGTGGGGACTTGATCCTTTCCCCGGCAATCTAGTAGCCATCTCAAGCATCTGGCACGACTTCCAACGGTCCAACGGAACTGAAGAGCTTGCCTCAGCTCTGCCATACACTTGCTCGTACAGCTCTTCATCGTATCTTGACTCTTACGTCCATGACTACTCCCAAAACACTCGTGACGATTACACTCTGGACGACAGCTATAAAAACATAACTAGGAACTCGGCCATCTGCAACAAAGTCTCCCGTGCTCATCTTTGCGACTCTAGCTGCCTCATCCTCATCGAAGGCGTTGGGAGCAAAACCACGGGTCCGGCCCACTCTGATATCGTCGGCCTTACCCACGGCCTATCCTTCCTGATTTCCCTATCCGTTACTGCTCTCACCGTCATGGGTTTCCTCGAAGGACTCATCAAGCGGCCGAAGCCCCCCCAACTCACCGCCGTCATCAGAAAAACGTACAACGAACCCCACAAGCCGCTCGCCAACCCGTATCCACTAGAGCAGTACAGCACCTCGAGAGACGTCGTTTACTGCGCGCAACTGATGCGGCAAATGTACTCTCTAGATCTATCGATCTGGGCTATGGAGGACTCGGCGCCAGGAGAGGTTCCCCGTCGTGAAGCGATGAAGACGCAAGCGAACGCCCTTTTGGAAGAGATACGGAACGTCGTGGAGGTGTGGCAGAAGGACATACAACGGGAGGACGGAGGAACATGGAAGCTGGAGGAGAGGAAGCTCGTCGATGAGATTTCGAAGGCTGTGTTGGAGTATCCGGCGGAGAGATATCCTGTTTCGATGGATGCGCGGCCTGCGGCGAAGAAGAAGTGGGAACAGCAACGAGGGCTCAGTGCTGTGGGAAATAACACCAATGGCACTGCAGGGAATGGACACGTGCATCCGCCCGTAGCCTTACCTGAGCTGCGCGGAGACATCCGACAAGCAGCGGAATTGGAGGCTCGATCTTTGCGGTCATCAAGGCGACCTCCAATCTTTAAGTTCCCACGCAAACCCTTGGAAAATCCTTCGTCTTTGCGCACTAGTCAAGCAACCTAAATATCTGTTAGTTTTCAAGCTCACCAAAAGGCTGATATGTATACCAATCAATATATTCAACCGTCATTTTCCACTTACGCAAGTAACGGCTCACTTGCAATCTGCATACACCCTATTGACGCTGTCTGGGGTAGCCTCACGAGTTTACCAATTAGTCAAAATGCCGAGCTAATCTCTCTTTCGAAATGCTGAAAATATTATGAGGCCACTCATCCAGCGGTAAACAAGTGTACGGATTTCTATAAAGAGACAATGCATTTTACATCCATATCACGGTCGCAATGCAAGAGGAGGAAATTTTGAGCATGGGAAACGTAGCCTCGTTAAAACCCCCACCAGAGCCAAAAGATTGATGTTTCAGGTGGGGGAAAGAGTGCTACAGAAGTTTGTTGGGATGAACGCTGCAAAGAAAACCATACCCAAGAATGTCGTGTCCGTTGCTTCGTAAATATCACTCCAACTGGTCGTCTCTCCTATTGTTGCTCATCTGGCTTTTGTCAACATTTTCCAGACCTTGAAGACCAGCTCCCTTACTGTTTGTCGGTTATACAACGGGAGCACCATCGGGGTGGTGAAGAAGAGGCCCGGCGTGGTACAGACCGTATTCGGCGTTGTAGAGCGTGTCCATCGCATCCCAGTAGAGGCGTGGTCCATACTCCCGAACAAATCCATTCATCTCGTTGTTGAGCATCCGGGGCTGGGAGCAGTGCAGCAGTCTGGTCTCGAGGTGCCTCGCCAGTGCAACCACCAAGTCTTCGAATGCTGCCAAGGCTTCCAGGTACGGCCGGGAGAAAGCATCCATACCTGACGTGACCATCCAGTGAATGATATGGTCAGCCACGTCTTCTTGATCTTGAGGGCTCTTGGTGCTGTAGTCCCGTGCAGAATCCACAACCAGTAGGATCATACGATTTGTGGGCGTTGGGTCCAGTGTTAGCCGACGTCGAAGCTCCGGGATGGTCTCAGTTTTGCGAAGGAACTGTTTCTGGATGGTCTCGTTGAAGGTCCCAGCGGAGTCGAATTGGTCGATGAATCGCGGCGCTGCGGCGTTGCGAATCGGAGGCGTTGCGGCGTTGAGAATTGGAGACGCTGCGTGCGGAAGGACCCCACCACGACCTCCCTGCTTACCACCTTTAGCACTCCCCGATACGACCGTAGATGGAGGTAGATCAGTAGACTCCTGGGGGAGGTCAGCTGAAACACGGACCAAACACGTTGCCGGCACCTTCGCCGGTATATCTCTAGGAGTAGTGACCAGAGGAAAAGGTGAATTCACAGATTGGCCGTGATAGGGCCCAACTTGGATTCGCGTTGGCGGTGGTCGGATGGCCTGGGACGTTGGAGCAGGGAGTAGACCATCATCATATGGAGTGCGGTATGACCGATGAACGGAGGAGCTACCTGATGAAGCACTGGATTGCGGGCCAGCCGAAGCGCGGGAGGGAGCAAACAATGGTTGTTGACTGTACCCGTAAATAAGCCACTCTTCAGGAAATGTGGAAATACACTTACGTAGGAAACTTGTCTCTGCAGCCGTTCTTCATTCCTGGACGCCCAACAACGTGCTGACGCAACGCATCCTCGGTCTTGTAGCCATGTTTCGAGCAATAAGGGCAATCAAAACGACTGGAGGACTGACTTAATTTCTAGACATAGTCAGTGGGTGGGCTCAGCTAGCTGCAATAACGGTCCACTCACTCGCTTTCTTGTAGGCGCCGTAGCCTCTTGAGAGGACTCCTGGAAGGGTCCATTGGTGAACTGAAACATCGTCATACTGCTCTAGTTTGTCAGCGTTTGGAGAGACTTGGTCGAGGTCATGCTCAGTACTAGGCCATAAGTCTAGGCACACAAGTTCATCACTGCTTGGTCCCAATCTTGCTCATCTTATACCACCGCGAGGAGTAGCCCAACTAGTCAGTAGCCGGTGAGTCAAACAGCAGTGCAATTCGCATTGCGTGAAACTTGACATCGCGGCTACGCTCTTGGAATTCCATTGGGGTACCCCAAGCAGTGGCAAACGGGTGTGCACAGACTTATGACCTGTCGCTGTACGGTGAGAGTGGCGTAATTGCTTACCTTGATGTGGCGTAATATGATGTCAAGGACTTGATTGTCGTGATGAGAGAGGAAAAAGAGGTTGTCTGGACTGGGGGGCTGTGTGGCTGTGAAGCGAGGTTAGTAGGGAGAAGGAGTCTTGGGTGGGTGGTGAATGATGTGAGGTTAGGGGAAGGACGGGAGCAAATAGTTTAGTCGAGAAGAAAGGAAGAAGAGAAGTGGATGATGTAAGCTAGGGAACAAGAGGGAGGATTTGGGAACATGTGATTTTGGGGAGAGGAGAAAAAAAGGTTGGGAGGGAGATCAAAAAAGTTGTCGAGAAGGTTGTCTGGATCCAGGTTGGTGGGACAGAAGTGATTTATTTATACCCAAAAGAAGCCCCCGCACAGGCCACATCCCGTGAAATGAACGTGACTTATGGATTCAACCAATGGGAGGCTAAGATCAAAGAGGCTAGCACCTCCTTCTGGCACCTCGAAGAGCAGAAATGAGAGTCTCGAGAGCATTATGAGGCTTTGCTGGCAACATGTTCAATTGGTATATACGGAGATCACCGATTTATAGAAATTTCAGTGATCATCATCATATTTTACTGCACCAACCTGTGCTATTAGTCAGCGAAATCGGCACGTAGTAATCATTACCAGCAACTAAGAGTGATTTTGCAGCCAACGCTCTCGCGGAAGTCTTCTTTAACAAGGAAGGGAGCGAACGTTTACGAAATACCGAGAAGGATGGATTGATATCAGCTTTCAACGTACGCGGTTAGACGTCTTCCGTCTTCAAGCAAGTTATCTATTGCCATTTTGCCTTCTCTAAAGACGCGTCCGAGATGTTTAAATCAAGACCGTGACACAGCTAGCCTAATAATTACCACCGATTTTAGTTGCAGAGTACCAGTCATGCCATATAATATCAATCGTTAGCCATTATATACCTCGCAGATAATCGGCCTCTTCCCACAGTGGTAGGTTTTCCTGAACCAGCCTACCCAGCAGCAGTCTCTGCCAACAGCTGGCGCTCCCGGACAACCTTCGGCTGGTGACATTTCTCCAGGTACATAAACTCACCTCCACCTCCACCTCCACCTCACCTAGCCCTCGACAACTTCCTTCCTCTGCACTCTCTTCACCCTCTCCTCTTCATCCGACTCCATTCGTCAGTGCCCTCAACATTGCCAACTTGGTATCCTTCCTACCTACTCCCACTGACCTCGCACTCAAACAGCAACCGTTCACCGTCGACTCCTGCAACTGCACAGAGAACTCGAATCCTATGATCCTCACATTGTATTTCACCTCACTTCTGCGCACTCGTAAGTCTCCCCTCGCTACCGCAAGCCTTCCCTAAGCCATGCATCAGGTCAACCATATCACTGACAATAAACAAAGCGACCGGTCATCTGATTCGCGACTTCGAATCGGCACCTCGACTCTTACTTTCACTTCACCTACATCTTCCAACCTCGTATGCTTACCCTTACCGCTGTTGGCTTTCCTCTAAGCGTCGCCTGACTTGCTCCTAGCAAAGCGTAGGCACAATGACCCATAGCAAAGGCCGTTCACGTCGCCCTTGGAAGGGCTCGCAACCAAATGACGGGCTAGTAAGTAAAAGATCTACTCGACTGTGCCTAGGCACCGACTCGGGTTGCAGCACTACAACCTAGGGTCAGCAACTCATATGCAGTAACGTATCAGGATAGCATGCTGATACAGGAGGAAGTAACAGGTAGTGCAACAGCAGTGCTGCAGCACGGTATCAGTACTGTATCAGGAAACAGGATGAATCAAGTAACGCGTCAGGAAGAGATCCCACGTTATGCCCCCGGGGCTGGCCCCCCTCCTTCCCCTAGTATATAAACAACGAGCTAGACACCCATAGAAATCAGAGTTCACATCAATTTCAACCTGAGTCACCGACTATGTACAGAAACAAACACCGGCTCTTGGCTACTACATCCACTACCTGTGTGGCCGAGATTTCTAGGACCTCCAAGCGATAGAAGACCATCACTACGGGCCCCATGGTAAGCACAATGGCTGCCGCGACCTTTACGGAGAGCCCCAGAACGCCAATCCGTAAGTGTGCTCGTCGTGTCTGTACCTTGTCCTTGTTCTCTGCCTGACTTATCATCGTTTTACTTTTCAGATGGCACCATCCAACCTACCAGCGAACGGACCATTATTCAACACCTTCGAGGCATCGAGCCTGATACGCGCAAGCCGAGTCCACGGGAAGGGAACTCTTCGCGCACCGCGTCCAGACGGGGACGCTAAATTGGCTCCTGCGTGCTCCCCACCACTATGGGAGGCTGAGGCACTTGAAGGTCAGGAAACTGCGCTAACGCGTTCCGATCCCATAGTCTCAGCCTGCACCTTTGGCGTTTTCCCTGGGGGCCCAGGCGAAGATACCTCAGAGCCGTCGTCGTTTCGTCGTTCGATGAAGGATGATTCGGGGATGGAAGAGTCAGCGAGTTTGAGCCATCGCCCTTTGGGTGATGGCTCCGCCCGTACCCAGTCATGCTTAGGTAGTCGTTCGTTGGAGGATGGCCCGCCGGATCGTCGTCCCTCGAAGGATTGCTCAAGCGGGATTGCTGAGGCGTCGGGAACGGCCAATAGTGCAACCTCCTATGATAGGGGAGCCCGAGAGGAACCTAATCTGGACGAAGCGAGCGCACCTGACGGTCCCGAAGGCCGTCGGGAACCACAGATTCTACAAATGGAACAATTCTTTTACAACAAATTCCGTAGCACTCCTTCTCCCATTAGAGTCTTCTGGGCTCTGGTGGAGTTTTTAACGAGGCTACGTTTCCCATGCTTGAAACTTCCTTTAGTTGAATTGTGATCGTGATATATATATGCAATGTGAGCGTTGTACGCCACATTAATGTACGATGTTGCTTTCTCAATTACTGGTTCTCGTCACAGATATCCGCACACTTTCTGCCACTGCTTGTAGCGTCTCAAAGTATTTTCAGGTGCCCGGTTCAGACCGAGGTTTTACCTTTTGAACAAGTGATAAACTCGTAAAGCCACTCCAAGCATCGACAGAGGGGTGTACACAGATTGGACGTGTAATCCGCAGCCCTGAATTTCTGAATATATTACGATGCGCCACAAGCGGTGGCAGAATGGTATGTGGACATCTATGACTACGCACTTTACCATCACGGCGATTCTTCAATATAGGACTGGCAATACTAGGCATAGTCACATAGATCCCCATCGAGAATCAACGCAGTCCCAGGAGTTGTAAAGTTTGCGAGAGGCTAAATTCCTGTATATTCTATAGCAAGTATTCTCGTCGAGCATCTAGATGATTCTAGTCTTGCGTCTTTGAGTCCACCCAAAAATGCCCTCTTACTAGACAACCGATGTGTCTCAAGCTACTTAACACATTGCTCATACTCGTTCCAACTCTCATGCAAACTTGCAGCTGATATCCGGCTTCAAAAACCTATGACGGCGCGCACGAACCGCTCTAGCAAGTGCGGGGTTTGGGCTGACCGCACTACGTCCGTCAGTATTAAGCCCGGCTCTTCCGGGTTTCAGAAACATCACACCCACATCATGAGCATGCAGGAGGGTCTATGTGTAAGCTGATGGCAAAGTTTGCACGCGGAAAATGATGAGGAGGTTCCGTAATCAACGTGGCATGACACACCATGGAGAAACTATTGATCGATCACAGCATATTTTTGCGTCTCACGTTAAACAGATCGATGTGCGTGCAGATACGAAGTGAGTTGAATCTCTGTTGGTCGGGGACTCAATACAAAGAAGTTTTGCAAAGCGTTTGAATGATGCTAGCCGAACATCCCCAATCCCGCTCGAGCTGCTCTGTCGCTAAGCCACCTCGTTGTCACCTTCGCTAGGCCCATATACCTCGTTCAACGCTTCTTCGAACTCCTCAGTTGCCAGTCTCAGTATCTCGGGCTCTTCAACGTTGTCCACGAAAAGATAAATCCTACCATTTTCAGACCGCACAACCTTTCCCAAAGGCTTCTCAAGGTACGTGAGACAGAGATCCTGGAATGCTTGCATGTGACGAATAGCTCCAAACTCCAGCACGAAATAATTCATGTTAAAGTAGACCTTCTCCCTCGTATCCGGCCGTCCCACCGCGATCCGACCTTCCAGATTCTTCGCCAAGGCTACCAGCAGATCCTCGAATGTGACGATAGGCTTCAATGGCTGCGCGCTGAAGCCATCCATGTTATGGAATCCTCGGAAAAGAATCAGGCCTTCGACCTTAGCTTTGTGACTAGAATCGTGGTCTGCGCGGTATTTGCAAGCGTCCAGGAGGATTCCCATCATCTGATTGTGAGGGGTGGGAACATTGTCTAGGCGTTGAAGTAGATGGGGCAGCGACTCGTGGACATTCTGGTAGCTGGCGTAGGAAGGGAGAATCAGTGAGGGAGACATGAGTTGTATTGAGGTTCTAGCGAGTGGCTATATAGTTGGAAGACGGTAGGAGT